GACAGCTTTACTACTTTAGAAAGAGAGATCTGGGCAGGCACCAAGGAAGAGGTGACATTTACGTGAGGGCCTTGATTAGCGGAAGTCAGCTTTGCAAAGGGAGAGTTTTCCAAAGGGCCCGGGATGAGCTTGCTGGTGTGTTGGAGGAGGAAGGATGTAAGTCAGGCTGAACAGGGAAGCGAAATCACCGTTTAGCCAGTGATTGTGGAGAGACAGAGGGCCCTGCGTGCTGCATAACAACTCTGGAGTTTGCCAATAATGAAATTAAATACAGTGCCACCCTGTTGAGATGCAGGTGCACACTTATTGCTCATCTATAGGCCATTTTGTTCATGTCTTGCATGCAAGAAGCCCCTGAAAAAAAATTCTGAATTAATAAATGAGAACAGACATTTCTCCTCGTTGGAGTGAGCAGGCAGCATTTCCAATCCCACCCACACAGTCGCCCCTCCTGCTCATAGGTAGTACTGACAGTCGAAGCTGGGCTTGAGCACAGGCCCTCCTGTTTTTCCAGAGCATTTGTTTAGTTGCGGGGAGGGAGGGAGGGGTGAAGTGCATCCCGAGATTCCCAGGATGCAGAAGCACCATAGAGGAGAGGGCAGGATCCCTCCCTGAGGAACTGAAGCTGCCTGTCTTCAGCGTTACCTCCTCAGTGAATCATGGCTCTCTTCACATGCAGGACATTCTCAAAGATACTTGCTTCAGAGCTTGAGACAGGGTCAGGAGAACAGCGTGTCTGGGGATGTATAGTACTTGCTAGATTGAAAATGCTGACCCTAATTCCACTCCAGGGCACAAGTAGACAGCTGGGCAAAGATTATTGCTCCTCCCTGTATAGCTTTTGCTTCTACATGTCACTTTGAAACATTTTTCCTTCCTTACTGAAGTTGATCTGCTCACGCTACTCATTCAGCATCTCAGGTTCTATGGCTCCTTCAGGTGGGGAAGGTTCTGGGAGCGATACACTGTATCCGCCAGCTAACCAGCAGGGAGAGCAGGAGTCAGGACCCGCTCCTTTTGTCCTGACAGTTATCCCAGCAATGAAATGAAAATAGATACATGGAAAGGCAGTGTGTTTGTCAGAGTACTTTCTTACTAGGCATCTCCTACATTTCAAATTGGCTCTTTAATGAGAACATTGCTTTATGTATATCTTATAGAACAGTGGTTCTCAACCTGTGGGTTGTGACTTCTTTGTGGGTCGAAGACCCTTTCACAGGGGTCGCCTAAGACCATCAGAAAACACGTATTTCTGATGGTCTTAGGAACCGAGACACCGTCCTCTATGTCTCTAGGCGGGTCCGCCCACACGCAGACACGCCCACGACAAGGTGAGGAATGTATTAAAGGGTCTCGGCATTAGGAAGGTTGAGGACTGCTGTTATAGAAGGTAAAGCACACAAGTGTTAAAATTACACCTCAGAGAAATTTTACATGTGCCTGTTCTTTTATAACCATCACCCAGATCTAGCTGGAGAACATTTCCAGTGCCCAGGGATTTCCCTCATCGCCCCTCCTGCTCTCCTGGCCTCTGTCACTAGCCTTAGCCTAGTCTTGAACTTCAGGTAATCATGGTGTGTTCTCCTTTATGTCTGTCAGCATTTTCTGTGGGATTCATCTATGTTGCTGGGTGTAGTAATTCATTCTATTGATGTGTAGTATCCCATTGTATCATGGTTTCTCAACTGTGGCATTATTAATATTTTGAGCTGGATAATTCTTTCTTGTGAGGACTGTCCTGTCCTCTGAAGGCTATTTAGCAGCATCTCTCTGGCCTCTACCCATTATGAATAAGAAGCATCTCCCCAACCCTTGTAATTTCCCCTGGAATTAAAAACTATGGTGTCACCTGGCTGGCGTGGTCCAGTGGATTGAGCCTCTCTCTCTCTCTCTCTCTCTCTCTCTCTCTCTCTCAAATCGATAACATTTTTTTAAAAACCATGGTGTCATATACTACAGTTTTTTAAATACATATTTTTATTGATTTTTAGAGAGAAAGGAGGGGAGGGAGAGAAAGAGATGAAACATTGATGTGAGAGAGAATCCTCAGTCGGCTGCCTCCTGCATGCCCCACTGGGGATTGAGCCCGCAACCCAGGCATGTGCCCTGACTAGGAATCGAACTGGTGACCTCTTGGTGCATGGGTTGATGCTCAACTGTTAAGCCACACTGGTCAGGCTATGCTACAATTTTTAAGAAACTTTTTATTTGGAAATAATTTCAAACAGTGAAAAGTTGCAAAAATGGAACAAATAATACTCACAGTGTATTCTTTACCTAGATTCATCTATTGTTAACATTTGCCACATTTTTAAAATCATTTTCTCTCTGTTGCCCACACACAATTTATTCGTGAACCATTTGAGAGCACGTTGCATTCACCTTGGCCATTTACCACTGTGTACTTCCACGTGTATTCTCTAAGAATAAGGATCTTCTCTAACACTATCATAATGATCGATTCACCACAATAAATGTAGCATAATACGTTTATCAATTGCCTATGTCCCATTTGTTGTCAGTTGATCAACAGTTATCCTTATAGCATTTATTGTGCTGCAGAACAGGTCCAGGATCAAGCATTGTACATGTCTGCCACGGTTCCTTAGTATTCTTTGGTCTAGAAAGCCTTTCTTGGTCTTTTTTGATACTGAATTTTTTTTTAAGAATGCAATTTATTTTCTTCTTAATTGGACATTACTCATTTGGAGGTCTGTCTTTCCTCCTGACTACATTCAGAATATGTATTGCTGACTGGAAGACATAGTGCCATAGTGTGTCCTTAGAGCATCCTACTCAGAGGCATGTGAAGTCCAGTTACACCTTGTCAGTGATGTTGAGTTTGATCTCCATTGTATAGTTACTAAATTTTCCCTTACAGCTAATAAGTAACATGTGGGGAAACACTTGGGACCATGGAAATATTCTGCTTCCCCTTTAAATTTAGCCTCGAAATTTAACATACTTTTTTTGGTTGTTGTTAATCCTCACCCAAGGATAATTTTCCATTGATTTTTAGAATGGAAGGGAGGGAGGGAAAGAGAGAGACAGAAACATAGATGTAAGAAAAACACATCGATTGGTTGCTTCCTGCATTGCCCCCACCACCACCACCACCGGGGCCAGGGATCTAACCTGCAACCCACGGTACATGCCCCGACCAGGAATCAAACCTGAGACCCTTCAGTCTGAGGGCTGATGCTCTAACTGCTGAGCCAAACCTGCCAGGACAGCATACTTTGACTCTTGCATGACGCAGTCTTTACCTATGAAGGTTACAAATCCAGCACTCCTGTCTGCACTCACTCCGAGCTTTCTACATATACAAGAGGCCACTCTTCACTTCTTTTATTTATTGAGGTTTTTATCTGTCATCAGTATGGATTCATGAATTCCTATTGTTTCAGTGGTTTATAAATCATTACTGTTTTAAATATTGTAATGCTCAAATTGCTCAGCTTTGGCTGGTGGGAACCCCTTGAAGTTGGGCCCTGTGTTCTCCTGACAAATTCCCATCTTTTTTTAAAATTTCTAATACTTCCTTACTTTTCGTCATAACAAGATGTTCCGGGCCCATCTCTTAATTTCCCTTCTCCTGTACTAGAATCGGCCATTTCCCCAGAGTCCTAGCCCCTTTTAATAGGGAAGAGTAGAGAGTACACAATTTATTTATCCTTTTCCTGTTGATGAACATTTAAGTTGTTTCTTGTTCTGAGATATTATAAAGAAAGCTCTTCTGCTCTTCTGAATATTCTTTTACATGTTTTGAACCTATGAACTGATTTCTGTTGAGTATGTAATCAGAATTGGTGATGGAAAGTCACAGACTCTTCACTCTGGTTTATATACCCAACAGAAATGAGGAAGTCTATAAAAAATGACACATATTCAAAGAAGCTTTTTTCATAATTTGTATGTGTGTGTACTTAGTTGTAGTAGATACTGATGAGTAGTTTTTAAAAGTGCTCATAATATTTGTTTATCAGAGAGCAGAAGGAGGTGGTTGGCCCCAAGAGGTGGGGAGGAGTAATCAGTGGTAGGGTCATAATGGGCCATAGCAATCCCAAGACATGTTTGTTGTCTGCAACCAGAAATGGCAAAATTGCTGATCCTTTCAATAGATAGATAACAAGTGAAAAAGTATGAGATTTGCCACCTGGCCCATTCCAAAGCTTCTCTTTAGAGCGCTGCTTAAGATGAGCCAATGGACGTGACTAAAGTTAGGACTCTCCTGCGACCTTCAACGTGGCTTTTGTGTCAGTGACACCAGTGACAGCACTTAGGGAACGCAGGTCCATTGCCAGGGGCACCTGCTGTTAGAGAGCATTAGGGTCTCCACTTTGTTTTTAAAAGTGCCTCCCAGGGGGAAGGATGTCTGTCCCCAGAGTCCCATTCACATCTCCTGCCTGCTGGGGGCCCATTTGGAATCCTGGAACAGTCATTTACTAAACAGTCTGGGGAAGTAAATTTCCTTCTGTCTACACCCAGGGAGTCACTTAGTTTTCAAGACATTTGAGATGGGGGCTGAGGGACAGCAGGCAGATCAGGAAACTGCTGGAAGCTAACAAGGGACTGAACTGGTCCAGTGTCATGAGACTAGATTCCAGGCTCGGTTTTGCCAGGGAGTGCTGGGCATGACCACCCTCCACAGCTCCAAGTCTCCTGGTCCGAAAGGTCTGCCCTAGTGCTGATGTGCTTCATTAGAATCAAGAGGGACTTGAAGGAAACAACACACAAGATAAACCCTGGGCTCTTAGTTTCTCTGATGAGCCTTTGGAGGAACTAAACCAGTGAAAGGCATGTCTGAGGATGCATTTTAGCCGGGCGCCCCTCTAGGTGGACACTGCCCACTCTGGCGTGGGGGAGCCTTCGTGCAGTGTCCAGCGGGACAGCATACACAGCGACCCTGAATGGATGACCATTCAGATGACCCACAGCGACAGAAAGCCCCACTGCTGCCCGTGTCTAACCTCCAGGGCCCTCTCCTCTCTCCCGCACAGGCCTTTCGGCGGACGGCGGCGCCAAGCGCCAGGAGCACCTGTCCCGCTTCTCCATGCCGGACCTCAGCAAGGACTCGGGCATGAACGTCTCCGAGAAGCTGAGCAACATGGGCACGCTCAACTCGTCCATGCAGTTCCGCAGCGCCGAGTCCGTGCGCAGCCTGCTGTCGGCCCAGCAGTACCAGGAGATGCAGGGGAGCCTCCACCAGCTCGGCACGCCCATCGGCTACAGAGACCTGCAGTCCCGCGGCAGGATGCACCAGAGCTTTGACTTCGACCCGGGGGTGGCGGGCAGCAAGCTGCCGGGGCCGGAGGGCGTGAGGATCCAGCCCCTGAGCGAGCGCACGCGGAGGAGGAGCACGTCCCGCGACGACAGCCGCCACTTCCGCCCTCACCGCTCCCGGCGGTCGCGCCGCTCCCGCTCGGACAACGCCCTGCACCTGGCCAGCGAGCGCGAGGCCGTCGCCCACCTGAAAGAAAGGCCCCCGCTGCGGGCCCGGGAGGACTACGACCAGTTCATGCGCCAGCGCAGCTTCCAGGAGAGCCTGGGCCCGGGCGCCCGGCGGGACCTGTACGGCCAGTGCCCGAGGACTGTGTCGGACCTGGCCTTGCAGAACGCCTTTGGGGAGCGATGGGGACCCTACTTCACCGAGTACGACTGGTGCTCCACCTGCTCCTCCTCCTCGGAGTCTGACAATGAGGGCTACTTCCTAGGAGAGCCCATCCCCCAGCCGGCCCGCCTGCGATACGTCACCAGCGACGAGCTGCTGCACAAGTACAGCTCGTACGGCCTCCCCAAGTCGTCCACGCTGGGTGGCAGGGGACAGTTGCACAGCAGGAAAAGACAAAAGAGTAAAAACTGTATCATTTCTTAATCTGATAGGGGTCAGGAAATGGGGGAAAGTGGGAGCTAAGAATGTAAATGGAGAAACTTGCACTGTTTTAAATTTTAAAGCGCTTTTCGGGGTGGCGACGGGGAAGAAGGGACATGCTCTCCGTGGATGAAGGCAAGGTTACAGATTGACTCCGTCGGCAGTCACCGTTCTTGGCATGTTGAATATTATTTGCACATTTCACTTTGGAAACGCGATAGACTGTGGAGGCCAGGGTTGGTCACCTCCCTCCCATCAGTGTGTTGATTGCCAGTCCTAAGATAGCAAATCGCTTCCTGCTCGCTTGTATCCTCTGGTTCTCTTACTTTTAGGACCCTTTTTCCAGTAAGTAATTTGTTTATTAGCCAGGACCCAAAACTAAGTTATTTACATGTCCATTGTAAATGCAATGTAAATGAGAGTTCTGATAAAATATTTTTGTATTTTGTAATATCAAAGGAATTTCTATATGGTAGACTCAGTGGAACCCGCATGCACACCCAGCATTGTCTTTGAGTAGTAGTATTCAAAGGACCACCTTCTTTTTCTTTTTTTCTATACAAAGTTGTTACATGTCAGTGAGACTTTTTTCATAGGACTTGATTCAATTTGGCTTTTTGTGGCTAAAAAAAATTATTATACCCAAAGCATTTTATGTCCTATTCCATCTTAAGGAGCCATCCTTAAATCTGCTCCCACCCTCAGTAGAATGTATTCTCTACAAAGTGATAGTCATTTTTTTAACTAGCAAACATAACTTTTGCCCATTAGAGAAACCAATCAGTGTCAGTCAAGTTCGGTGAGAAACGCCATCCCTGCTGGGAACATGGAAGTTGCTCACTATTGATCTCTTTCTTGGGGAAAATACAGTGACTGTGAGTGGTGCTGTTGTGTGATGTCAGCATGATGTTGTTTTGAATGTGGCATTATTTTCTGGTGCTCATGTTTCCTAGATTGTATTCTCTGCTTTCCTTTGCCAAGGCAGACGGCACAGCTGCCTTAGCCTGACAACCGGTTGTCCTCAGTGCAAATGAACTTAAGCATTAGACGTGGGCAGAAAGGTTCTGACGGGCTCTGGGAGAGGCCGTGTGTTCTAGGTGGTACGCGATGCGTGGAGAAGGAATAAGGTGACTTGAAAACAAAGCAGGTCAAGGGTAAAACAAGGAGAATAGGAAAGAAGGTCAGGGCGAAGAAGAACTTCTGGAAATGAAGTAGAGGAGCGGTGACAGCCACCTGGAGTGGCCCCAGTGCTTGTGGAAAGAATTCAGCTTAACACACTCCCTAACCAGAGTATCTGGTGACCCGAACGGTCGAGCTGCTCAGGAGAGTTCAGTGTAATGGTCAAGAAGCAAATGTTGTTGAAAGGAAGGTTTCCATTTGGAACTTCGGGGACCGCTGGTGAGACAGAAAATGGGCTCAGAAGTGAGTTTGCTTAAAGAAGACATTTAACGGTTGTGTTGTTTATAGTAAAATAAAACTTTCTACCTTGCTTCAGTTAAAAATGAAGCGCTTGCTTTTTCTTCCATTCTCCTCCTCCCCTTAATGGATTGCGGCAGCTGAAATAATCCATCGCAGGACCCTTTTAGTGAGATGTACTGTCCATGTGCTACACGGTGTATCTCAGTGGCCATCTGCCGTGGTGAGGTGAGCGTGGTCTCTTTTCAGTATAGTAGTTAATATTTTCTAGTATTTCTTATGGAGAGGATGTGAGAAGTGGCTTTTCAGACACCATGCCAAATGGGTCTGGGGAAAGGAAGGCTGTACAGGGCGTGGAAATGGCGCTCCATTCAGGATGTAGTAAAATAATTTGCTTTTCAGGTATTAATATGACATTTGTCATTGTCACTGAGTTAAAAATAAAAGCAATGCAAGTGTTGGTTGTGGCTGTTTTCCGCATGCTATCTTCATATCTAAATGCTTCCTTAATTATCCAAGCCTCTGGAGAATTAACTCTATTACATTTGTATAGTAAGTTTGTAAACTGCTTGGCAAACTGATTTTAAGAAATTATGTGCAACACCACACGACTAACGTGGCAGGTTTCTGGTAGAAATCAGGCAAGTCCAATTTGGATTTTTTAGTTCCTTGATCGATGAGAGTAAAAAGGCATTTTGGAAAAAGGAAAAAGAGAAAAAAGTAGATGACTTAACCTAGCAAAAAGCTGAATACAATATCTGTCCTGTGGCCTGGAATCCAATGAAAGAAATTCTCCTAGTAAATGTTGCTTTCTAACTCTGTCCTTTCCAGAGTACCTCATGCATTCCCCAGGTGAGGCTTTTACCCCATCAGCACAAAGAAGGTGGCCTAGAAGCTGGCAAAGAGCTAATGTCCAAAGGGACTGGTAGAACGAGCAATTTGAGATCTAGTTGCCCAGGGAACACCCAGCAGCCGCGCTGGTGGAGCCTGAGATGTAATGGATGTAAGCCTCAGGGTGGAACTGTCTACAGGCAACATCACCTCCATCCGATCAGCACTGCAGAGGTCTTCCGGCCCACAGCAGCCAGGCGCCTTCCCGGGAATGCCCACGGAGGACGGCTACCTCGCGGTGACGACGGAACCCCCGGTGGGTGCCCGGAGAGAGCAGGGTGTCGTTGTACGGGGAGCTCCACCTGTTCGTGATGACTTACCCATAACATCACAGAATCCCAAGTCCCCAAATCCCGTGCATTCTTGTCTGAGGCAAGCACTTAGGGTCCTTACCTGATTCCTCCGTCATAACCACCGACTCTTCTTGGTCAAGTTTCGTGTGAGTGAGGCCTGCACTCACCTCTTCTTAGGCCATTTCATCTTCAACAAATTGTTTTTATCAAAGTAATCTTTTCCCAGTTTCCTCTCTGCTCTAAGGCCTTCGAGTTGCGTTTGTTTGTTTTTCCACCTCTCCTCGTATTGGTCCTCTCCCTGTCTTTCGGTTAACACCGCAGCTTTAGAGTGCAGTTCGTGTCCTCTTTGCTGCTCAGCTCAGCAGCGTCGGAACTGGCTCTTTCCCGGGAAACTGAAGTCATTGGCAGTGTCCTGAATGGCCCTGCCAATACGCACCGCCCTCGAGACTGTGAACAGGTTTCTTACCAGGCTGGTGGCATTGAGCGTGGCATTCAGGTACCCTTCCTTCTGTGACATGGTTCTGGGATCTCTACAAACGTGAAGGTGAACGAGCTGCGGGGAACCAGGACTGTGCTGCGTGGTTCAGAGGCAGAGACTCCCTAGTGCGGTTTGACGGCTTCTTTCCGTCCTCATCTTGTGTCCTCCGGTCCTTCCTTTCCGCGCTCCGCAGGCCCAGTGACCATGCAGTTCTTATTTCTGATGCAGGACCTGGATGAACTCTTGCTCATCCCCTTTTTCTTTCCGCCGGACGCTCCTACACTGCGTCGAGCTTACACTTCCTTCCCCCCAGCCTTCTGCGTCTCAGGTCCCTCTCGCAATGAGTTCAGGTGGGCCAGTGATGGCACATACTTAGTACACACTCTGCAGATCGGGCAGATAGAACCAGTGTCACTGTGTACCTTCCAGAGAACATGGATACAACCTCAAAAATCTTGTGACACTCCAGCCGGCCAGAAACGGGTGATCAGAGCTGATCTTATTTGTCTGATAACACATCTATCTTATTTGTGAACTGATTCTTGTCTTTCCACCCTGGGCTCTTTTACCATTGGGCAGAAACAGTACTCTAGCCACTTGGGAAGCACCATTCATAAATAACTGTGAGACTCCAATTCCTGTGCCCCCAGATTGTGGATGCGAACGGGAGCTGGCTTCTTCAGGCTAAATGAAGACAAATCTCTCTGGCCTCCTTTTCCCTTCTCATGTTCTTGGCCAGTTATTATAGGCAGCCCCTGTCCATCCTCTTGCAGAGGTCAGAGAAGAGTCCATCCTGGTCTTCATCTAATTCCACCTTCTAACAAGAAATAACACAAGTATTTAGATTCCAAGGGGAAGTGTGTTCCTAACAGAAACCAGATGCTGACACCTAGGAGGGAGAGTCCATGGGAGGGAAGTGGAAGATGGAACCAGCTATCTGAGTATCTTGTGCCAGAAGAGCTGCTGTTGGTAACTGTTTAGCACCTTCCAGGCTCTGGAATGGCTCAGGATGGCATCCCAGGGTCGGACTCAGCCGAGCCGCCTCTGCCGTGGGGAAGTCTCGCGCGCTTGCAGGTGTGCGCACGCTCAGCACTGGAGAAGTAGAAGGGAAGAGAGCTCTGCCTTGCCTCCATTGGTCGGTCCCTCTGGGACCTGGCAGACACCAAAACTTGTTTGACCACTTGGAAGCAGTCACCAAGGTTAGGATCAAGAAAGGATTTGCTTCTTTTCTCATTTTCTCATAATAGTAGCCCAGTCAACACAAGACTCATAAAACATGACTCACTGTTGGGAGCTCTGCTATTTCGTAGGCTGACTTCCTGCCGACAAAACTACCTCCTCAGCAGGAATGAAAGAGGAGGGAAGCTCACGCAGTGTTAGGAAAACATTTCTGTGATTTTGATGATGAATGTTTAGGCTAGAACACTGTCGTGTCTATCCTGAGAGTTTTCTGAGACATCCCTTCACCCTACTGGGCAATTGGCCATTGATGTTCAGTAGGTCACTGACCAAAGTTTTCTGAATTTTTTGGAGAGAGTTACTCACCAGTGAGGTCTGTTCTTAAGCCTTTCTGGTGATTTCCATATTTTCCCATAAAGCGTTTTGGTTCTATTTATGGACCCAACATAACACTCTGTGGCCTACGAGTCCTCCGTTTTCCTTAGCAAATTCGGACTTGGGCAGTTTCCCCTCGCAAACACATTCTCTCCTGTGCAGGGTTGCTTTGCCCATCCCCTGCTTTAATTCCAAGTGCATACACGAAACCTCAGAGGGCCCGGGAAGGCGAGGCAGGCGGAGTCCTGTGTGTTTGTTAGGAAGGTCTGCGACAGGCCTTGGGTGTGGGCTCTGCCAGAGACTGTTGTGAACACTTTGCTTGAGATCCGTGCCCTGTAAAATGGATATGATGTTTTACTGATGTCTGTAGTACATTTGTAAACTTCCAATAAAATTTGAATAAAAGAAATGTTGCCATTCCTCCCTTGCTTTCCAGATTTTTTAAATCTTTGCCTTTGAGCATCTCATCCGAAAAGGGAGAGGCTGTATAAGTCTGGGCTGAGAGTTACTGTGCAAGATTAACCTGATTATTTACATCAGAACGTCTCACCCTCGGCCCTCCGGAAGCTTGGGCAGTTCATTCTTCGTGGCAGAGGACTGCCCTGCTTTGTGGCTGGCTAATAACACCTCTGACCCCTACCACTAGACGCCAGCAGCACCCCTCTCCCTGAGTTGTGACAACCAAGTGTCTCCATACATCACACCCATTAGGATGATTACTATTTAAAAAAAAAAAAACTAGAAAATGGCAAGTGTGGGCAAGGATGTGAAAAAATGCACTTTGGGTGGGAATGTAAAACAGTGCAGCCTCTGTAGAAAACAGTACGCAGTTCCTCACAAATGTAAAATAGAATTACCATGTGATCCAGCAATTCTGCTTCTGGATGTACACCCACATAATTGAAAGCAGAGCCTCAAAAAGATAGTTAGCTGTACATCCATGTTCGTATCAGCATTATTCACGATGGCTAAAAAGATGGAAGCAACCTAAATATCCATCAGTGGATGAGTAAACAAAATGTGATATATACAGAGATACATACATACAATGGAATATTATTCAGCCTTTTAAAGGACTTTTTTTTAAATCCTCACCTGAGGATTTTTTTTTTTTTTTTATCCTCACTCGAGGACATTTTTCCATTTTTTGTTCAGGTAGAATGGGAGGGAGAGAGAGGAACAGAGACAGAGAGAGAAACATCGACGTGAAAGGGACACATCGAGTGGCTGCCACCCGCACGACCAACCAGGGCCGGGACAAACTGCAACCGAGGTACATGCCCTTAGCAGGAACCAAACCCGGGACTCTCTGGACCGCAGCCGACACTCTAACCACTGAGCAGAACCGGCCAGGGCTGAGGATATTTTTTCATTTATCTTCAGATAGAGTGGGAGGGAGAGAGAGAGAGAGAGAAACATCGATGTAAGGGAGACACCTCGACTGGTTGCCTCCTACACGACCCTGACCAGGGCGGGGGACTAACCCGCAGCAGAGTTACGTGCCCTTGACCAGAATCAAACCCACGACTCTGGTCCTTAGGCTAATGCTCTAACCATTGAGCCAAACCAGCCAGGGCTAAAGGAAGGACCTTTTGACACGTGTTGCAATACGGATGAATCTTGAGGACATTAAGATACGTGAATTAAGCCAGTCACAAAAAGACCAATATTGTATAATTCCGTTTGTAGGAGGTACCTAGCATAGCCACATTCATAGAATGGGGTTGTCAAGGGCCGGGGGAGAGGAGAATGGGGAATTGTGTAATGGGTATAGCGTTTCAGTTTTTCAAAACAAGAATTCTGAAAATGGGTTGCACAACAGTGTGGATGTACTTAACACTACTGAACTGTACATTAAAATGATAAATTTTATGTTGTCTTTATTTTACCACAATTTAAAGTAATATCACCACCCATAGCTGAATGTCCCCTGGGGACAAAGTCACCCCAGGTTGAGAACCACCCGTTCAAATGCTTTGCCACCTTAGCATCTCTATTCCCTGAGGACTCTTGAAAT